AAGAAATATTCCTAGTTTTTGTTTTTTTTTTTTTTTTTTTTTTTTAATGTCACCATTTTCTGGCATGCTTAAAATGATTCTTGCGAGAAATACTTGTACTAATTAACTATGATGTAAATATAGATCTTATTTAAGACAAGTCATTTCTTGTCATCACTAGACCTCATCAGTGGATATGCCACCTTGAAACTGAGGCAAACTCAACTACAAATAAATATGTAACAATCAAATACTTTTATCCTTTCAAAAGTAAGGCAACAAACATACCTGAAACATTAATAACAAATTTGAGAACAGACAAGAACAAATTATTATGTGTGATTTACCATAATGTTTTACGGCATTTAATGACACTTTGGGAACTATGACAGTCTGTCAGAGATTATCTGGGAGTACACACAAATGCTAGAATGCACCCAGAGCTATAGTCAGCAGGCTGTAACAGTCATAACTTTCATAAACTCGAAATGGTTTTACCATGTTGTTAAGCTTACTAATTGCAGAACTTATCATCTCTCCTTTTTAAAATAATTATTTTTAAAAGAATTTTTTGAGAGTAGCCATCATTATTTGAAGGATAGCAATTTGAAAAGCAGAAAGAATATTAGGAAATTTCAACAAAAACTTCAGTCACTGAACTGATCCATAAAACCTGTTACGAGAAATCTTTGGTTGTCCACTATTTACGACAGTAAGAGAGGTCAAAGACCATTTTGATCTTAACCATCATGCCATTCTTTTGTTCTTAGACAAGAGTCTTCAGCTTCAAATTGTTATTTCACCCAGCTCTGTTCAATAATGTTGACTTTGTACTTACTGTACTGTACTGTGAGTATTTCTTGTATTCACAGAAAGCCTGAGCTCACTCCTATCTCCATTCTTTTCCATCCAAGAAGGATATGCAGATATGATACCTAAGAGAGGATATTTACAGCTGGATCAAAAGACATATTCAATGAAATCTGTGTTAAGAAATACAGAGTATATCATTTCTTTGAAAAATTGAAGGTTTTATTATATCTGTCTGGGAATGGGCTATGACATTGTTATAATATAACAGTTTGCCCTGATTTCTCTAATGTAGGTAGAAGTATGTAATACTACAGCTTTGCTAAATACTACTCTAATTTCAGCAGAAGTGATACAGTCCTTGATTTTGGCTTTAAAAGCCAACCAACCAAACAAAATAACCATAATTTTGCACTTTTTTCCTGGGTTTTCTGGGTTTGATTTAAGATTCATTCAAGTTAGTAAGCCGCTCTCTACAGTTCTCATACACAAAAGCTTTTAGAAATAAACAAACAAGAATTAAATCTGAAGTCCTTACATAACCGTAGGAGCCTGTTAGTGTCACAGAAGAATATGACTTGGAGTCTGATTGTGTGAATTGAAAAACTCAAAAATAAAAGGTTATCTTGAAATGCGGGGCTTTATATTTTACATTTACATCTAATTCCAGTATGTAGAACATCTAGTGTGTCAGAAGCATTCAGTGCAAACGATATGACATTATTTATTTGATGTGAGAGGAATCTTTTTTTCCTTCAGTGCAATGTAATTTTAAATATTTACTGGCAGTACAAAATTGTTCTTTGCCCAGGAAATATTTTTAGAACAGCTGTTACTTGTCATTTACATACGTATTCTGAATTATTTATTGTAAAATTATTTATCAAAAATTCACAGGTAAAAATGAGCAATTGCTGACAATTCTCAGAAAAATTTGACTCCAAATACCCTTGAAAACATGACAATAGATTCTTCTATATCACTTGGAACACAATGTCTAAGAGCAATATAGACTATATTTCTAACTATAAAAAACTATATCCTTTTGCACAGGAGATATTTTTTAGGATTTTTTTTCTGTTATGTTAAAAGTAAAATATTCAGTTAGGGAAAAAAAAAAAAAAGGATGGCTGAATCTCTATGAATGTATGGATCTATTTATACACCATAAATAATTTTTACCTCTATCCTTCATTTAAGGTTTGCAACTTAATTCTGAGAGAAGTTGCCTCTTCATTTTTTTCCATTTTTGCCTACAAAGAAAGGATGTGTGTCAAGAGGTTTTCTGTTGTATCTCCATCAGAGCACAAGAGCAACATGGAAAAAGGGACAAGCAAATTCAAATTTGCTCTCAATTCTGCCTTGCATGAATTTGATGAAAGATGTCATTCCCTTAATGCTCTTGTATCTGTGATCGCTTATTCAGTTTTCAAAGAAAGAAGTGCCTCTTGTTTCAGACTGTATCTATGTGAATATATCAACAAGAGGTACTTCACCCAAAGTTTCCAGGTAACCAGTCCCCTTCCACAGAGATACTGTACAGCTATTTGGGGGCTACCTGCCAATGTCAAATAGATAGACTTATAAAGAGTTTTTGGCGTTTCATTTTGTCCTGATCTCAATAATATTTTAACGTAAGCAAGCACAAATATGGTAACCACTGGTACAGCTGTATCTTATCTAATATGTTAATGTAAGCATTTGTTCCTGTCTACAATAACATATGAGCTGCTTGCTAGCAAAAACAGCACAGGGATTTTTTTCAAAGCTATATAATACCAGCTGCCACTTCCTCTAAAGTGATGTCCAGTTCATTTAAAGAGTCCAGTCATCCATCAATGTGCCTTTATGTAAGAAGTAAACTGCTAAATCTAGAAGCAAATTATGTTTTCTTGTTCTTTGTGAGTGCTACATGATGAGCTTGGGAACAGAAAGTCCCAAAGAGTAGTATGTAAGCGATGCAAGTAGAACAGATGTGGGTTGTTAATAGTGCAGTCTTGATTTATTCCTTCATTCTTCCTGAAGACTTTTCTTTGGCAGTACTCTGTAAGCACTATCTAGGAATTTAATCATTCTTGTATTCATGAAATTATCCACTATTTGTAACCACGTGACTTTCATCTGAGCTAACACACACACAAATTCATCAACACCGAGACCTGAGTTTGGCAGTGTAGTCCACTTATGGTAAGTGAATCCTATGTGTACACACGTAACACTAGCCTTGCCAAGCAGGAAATCAAGACCCAAACCATGTATATGAACCACATTCACAGTTTAACTATGTGTTAATGAACAATCTCAACATACTGGTGATATAGAGAATTCAAAATGTGTGAGGTGGAAGACACGAATGCTTTTACTGTTACATGCTACTTTTTTATATTTCCTAACTAGATGCCATAATCTTCTGAAATACGAAAACAAAGAATATCAAGAAGACATTTATGACATTTACTGGATTTACTAAGCCATTTTAGAGGTGGATAGAAGCAGAGAATAGCCTGATCTCATGAGAAACAGATATTGATATGTGAATATATTTCAAAATGAATTTTTTGCATCCTCTCACTCGGGGAAATTTCATTCAGGGCAACACCAATCATTATGGTACAAGAGAGTAATCCTAGAAACAGAGAGTTACGAGCACTTCCAATATTTAAGTTGAAAGTATGGAATTTTTGAGCATCATTCTTTAGCACTTATTTATCCATGTTTCATTTAAAGGATAAATATTTCCTTGGATGCTTACAACATTCTGATGCTTTTCCTACACTGTGCGTTTCCATGTCTGTCTTTGAGACTATCAGTGCAATTATGAATACAGTTGTAGGATCTGGCTCTATTTTTAACCATTGTGACATGTAGATTTGAACTAAGACATTATTAATGTTATACTATAAAGCTCCACTCTGTCATCTTATTTTTAGAAATTTATTTGTTCCTGTTAATATTAGATATGACTTTAATCATCATAATTTTTCAGGGAAATATGAAATGCTAAAAACAAGCTAAAGACATGCATAAAGAATATTTGTCATCCAGATATGTGAAATTCAGTAAATGAAGAATCGCAAAATAATCTTGAGAGTATCAAAAGGCTTATTTTCACATATTATACAGATATGTAAGAAAGCAGGAGTACAAAAACAATTGAAAAATGTGAGAGAAAATGGCTAGAGATGATAATCCCCTGTTTTGACTGACTTACCATTTGCAGTGTAGACACTGCAATACACAAGATTTAATACAGAGAGCCTCATGGGGAATAGATAAGTTTTCCTTATTCAATTTAAATATATGAGTCAGAAAGCCATTCCTATTATAAAATATACAATATTCCAGGTGAATGTATGCCTATCTATTTTTTGAAACAGAAGTTTTCTGGGTTTGAAATTAACACTATCTAGAAGTTTACTAGTGGAAATCAGGACTTAGGGTGACGGTTTGTATTTATGGACACATGGCCAAGTTTAAATTATTGTTAACTCTTAAGAGGAGGCTTATTTCTTTTGAAATATCTATTTTCTAGAATTCCAAACATATTTGTGGAAATCATTCCTATCTTCATCTTTCATTTATTTGTTTGCTTTCTTCTTTTTTTAATCTTTGCTAATGATAACAGTATTCATGACAAATAGAGAATTTAGTCACCTGTTCCTACAGTAATTTTCTCCTTGCTGAAATCTGCAGCACATCCTTCTCTAGTAATTCTGTAACTTTCTACTTTTTCCAATCTCTTTATGAAGTACTTCTTAAGAGACATATCACAGCATATATATCTTTACATAACCATAATTCAAGCACAATGATAGAAAGCATGAACCCTTACTAAAGTTACTTGCATACATTTTAATTTTACTGGTTTTAAAACTTTTTTTTTATATAAAAATGAAAGTGATGAGAAATTTTAGTTTACTGTTTCTTAAATTCTTAAGGTGCTATCATTACTCACAGCAACCAACTCAAGTAAGTCAGCAAAACCACCCCCAGCAGAAAGTGCATGTCTTTTTTTTTATTCCTTTAACACAATATATTCTTGGTTTACAGACACGTGCGGCCAGATGCATCCAACTCCATAATATACTTAACTTGTAGGTCCAGTAGTTGAAGGTTGTAGCTAGCTGGAACGTACCGCAAAAAAGGTAAGCATAACAGAATACATTTTTTTGACTTCTCTAGTGGAAAACTGACATTAAGCTAAGGGCATAGAGAAAGCAAAATAAGGGCAGAGAATTGAGCTGTGTATTGTTCAGAAATATTTCATGATGTTTCATCTGCTTGCTTCTGCAGTAGTTTCATACTTTGTGTCTGACAATCTCTGCAAGTTCACAGTTCTGTTGTGTACACCTGCATGAAAAAATCCTTAAATGTAACACCAATGCGATGAAATGAACACACAAAACAAAACACTGCAAGTGAGTTACAGGGAACTGTCATGTCTAAATGTACAGATAAGAAAGTGAACTATCGGTTTGTTTGGAAAGTCTGGTGTTGATATCTTAAGATGTAAATTATTCTCCCTTAAGTGCAGGTGTAGGTGGCTGCCTCTTACTGACTCAGTCCCTTACTTCTCCCACCAGCAGGCAGGAATATCTCAGCACGATGCAGTTTCATGTGGCAGATGGCAGACACCTTATTACATCATACATATGGAAACAATTTTTCTGTAAGAAATTATTGTAAAAAATTAGAATTAGTCCAGAAATAGTTAAAAGAAGCATTTTCTCCAGTTGGTTTTGCTTTGAGGTTTGTTTTCGTTTGTTATTTGGGGGAGCATAGGTGAACGACAATTTACAGTTTTTTCAGACCACATGAACATAATGCTAATATTCTGACCCTGAGTTGATTCATTGTTGTGATATATATGACAAGGAGAGGAGTAGTTAACAGAACTCCTGTGTTAATGCATTAACAGGGTGCAGTGTAGCTGAGGTAGTAAGTACTTAGCATTTGGCATTTTTGTGTTTTAGAAAGGAGGACGTATTGCTGTGTAGAAGAGCTTTTGAAATGTTTTCATGAAAAGCTTGCTTTCAGCCTAACTTTATGTACCCATGGCTCGGCACCAGAAGGACATAAAAATCAACTTGATGATCCTAGAAAGGCTTACTGCCTTCATCTACTCTACTCTGCTCCCCACTATAAGCTCTAAAACTTGGTCCTTGAGGGAATATATAGTAAATCTAATGTCTTATTCTGGGAGTGGCTGTGATAAATCATACTGATGGCAGTATAATGCAAAGAACCCATCTGTTTGCACTACCTGAACATATTAGGCCGGTTTGCGCTCAGAGCCTGCACTGATGTAAAAAAAAAAAAAAAAAAATTGGAGAAGGCTAGAGTCTAAATTAACTGTTCCCACTGCATAAGGAGTTAACTTAAGAAAATGACAATATAAGCACATTGACAAACTGTAAGAGAGTTGCATCTGTTGCTAAAACCTGCTGCACTTCTGCTTTGCTCTATCCAGAAACTCAGCCCATTCCATTAGCATTATTAGGAAAGCAGAGTTAAGATGGAGAACCTGGTTTGAAATGATTATACAAACAAAGCTTTTGTCGAAACTGAACTGAACATATATATATATATATATATATATATATGAAAATTATGTATTCCTTTTGACTTTGAGCTAATGAGCACTTATAGCCATTTATTATCTCTTTCTTTGTTTCTTTTTAAGTTGCTTGAGAAGGTAAAATGCTTTCAAAGATGAAGTTCATTTGAAAGGCAGAATTTCTTCCCATAAGAATTATACACTGTGCTTTTACTTAATGAAAAGTTCGAGAAGTTACAATATGCAGATATCCAGATTTTGTTTAGGAGGTGGTTGTGTATAAAAATGGGAAAAAAAAATTCTGTGTAACAGCCATATGATTTTTTAAAATGGAGAAACAGAAATCTCACATAAGAGATACTCTACATTGAGATTTTATAACGTGTTCCCTATTTACTGCAGAACAGTCAAATACAATATGCAAGTTTGCTATCATTTACCATTATCTTCTCTATTATAAATCTTTGCTCTGAAATATTCTGGGGAGCTCTTTTGGAAGCACTTTTCAAGAAAAAGGGGAAAAAAAAAAAAACAAAAAACAGCACAGCAGAGGAAATGCAATTAAACAGGGAGTACTTTTTTGCTTCAGTTTTGCTCTGTTTAAAGATTTTTTAGAATGTAACTACAGTACTTCAAAAATAAGGAACTTGTATATAACATTGTCATTTACTAATTTATGTGTACCACATTACATTTATTGAACTCAATTCTTTAAAGAACGTCTAAAAATCTACTAGATTTTTTGAGGACCTGTCATCTGACAGTAATATAAAGACGAATGGAGATGATTGTGCTAACAAGATGGTTAATTAAAACACTAGTCGGCTGTTAAGTGAGAGATTATATATATGCAGAATCAGGATTAGCCAATGGTTTAGATAGAACAAACTGCACAGAAATGAAAGGATGTAATATGTACTCTATAACATAAGATGTCATATTTCTAATTTAGCAAGGAGAACGGTAAAGAGTTGGAAGAAATTTAAGCTTAGAAAAATAAGAAACAGCAGAATAACCAAAATTTAACACTGAAAACCACAGTAGCCACTTAGAGCTATAAAAATGTGTATCTTTCAGATATATATATTCAGCTAATTGTTGCCCAGTTCAGATGTGGCACTATATATAATTTCACTGTAGCAAAGCAGAATCCCACACTTGCTGCAGGCATTTGGCCACATCCTTTCGGTTTTGTTAGAAACATGTCAATAGAACAGATATGCAGGTATTTCTCTCTACATGGATTTCCACCTGCAGGTGCTCTTTCCATGGGTTCTATGAAGAAAATATAGTGCAATTTGAAATGCCAAAATGTAAGAACTGAAGAAATATCAGACAGTTTAACTCCAAAGCAGCCCTTCTAATATTTACTCCACAGACAAAAAGGAGACAATGTAGCATTTCATTTTTCATCAGTGCTGTGTTGCACACAACAAATAAATGATTCTAATTCATGAGTATTAAGAGAATATTTTCTTGCCAAAGCTCCTCTGTTCCCTGGGAATTTTTTCTCACACCTTTCTAATTCAAGTGCTTCAAGTGAAGGCCATATGGAGAACACCATAGTTGCTGCTGATTCTGAAGTATTTAAGCCTTTTGGCAAATGCTTTTCTCCTTCCCTGCTATCACATGGCTATAAAATTTCCCAGACGTATAAGAGGACTTCAAAAGGTGCTGAGGTAGAGTGGAAAGACACTCCGGACCACAGAAATACCTTAGGTTGTTTGTTCCTTTACTGATATTGATTATTGCTTTCTGATGAAGGACATGTTCTTCATACATATTTAGGAATACCACTGCTAGGACAGAAAGCAGTGGTAGTGAAATCTGATAGCTAGCACATATGACAGTCAACAGTTTGTCAGAGTCAAACTTGCCCTTGTTCTTGAAGCACATGAGAGGATAGGGGAAAAAAAGTCTGATGCTGAAGAACATTTTCACAGTGGAATTTCAGCTGTTAACATTTTGCTTCTTTCTAGCAAGCCAAATAGCTGCAGGACGTTTATTTATAAACTCCAACCTCTCACTTTGACAGCATCACATTTATTTTCAGAAATGTACCTGGTCCCCACCTATGCAAGAAAGAGGATTAAAGAAAGCCATCAGAGGGCATGCTGGCAGCCAGAGCTGATAGCACAGCACAAGGAATGCAGCATCTCTGAGCCTCTGCTTCATAAGGGTGGTGGGATCCTGCTGCTGCTCATAGAAGGGAAAAATGCGGCCAGGACAGGTATGTTTTTGTTAATATAAGGAACAAAGAGAGGCAGGAATAGTTTTCTAATTTAGGAGAAGAACAGCATAATTCGGAGTATCTTCATTAACATTGCCACTATAGAAATTTAGCACTTCCTCCTAAAGTAACAAATAAAGTGTTATCCAATTACTCTTACGCTTCCAATGATAGAGTAAATATATATGGCAATATGGATTATGAAATCTACTATGCTTATGTTTAGTCTTACTCTCACGTTACATAATGAAATTACATACATTAATGATATTTTATTTGTTATTTTACTGTGGACACCTTCTATTACAGTTTATGTTACACTGTAATAAGTGCTTAAGAGCCCACCTACTGAATGCGGAAACAAATTTAATTTGACTTTTCAGTAGAAAAAAGCAGGTTATTATTTCTCACCAAAGGCAGACCATATATTAGTATTGATCTAAACATCTTGTCAGATGAGCAAATTGCTAGCTTTAGACAATATACTGCTAGACTTACACATAACTTAAAGCATTACCTTGTTGAAAGGGCCATAAGCTTTGTATTGAGTTTGCAAGTCCTCAGGTTTGAGGACTACCAGTTTGTTCTGTCTGAACTAGCTGGCAACTTTCTTTTAGTGTGGCTTAGTTGTAACATTTTGCTAACTACCAAGTGTCTGACTAATTTGTTAAGCTTGTCTTTGCGCTCTACTAACATGATTTTATGTCTCTATCCTAATAACACCCCTCAGAGAAATACAAGTCTGATGCGATAGAGCAGGCCTTGAGAATGGGGGGCACCAAATGCAGAGGAGAGTGGGAACCAAATACAAGAGGGAGAGCACAACCTGGCACTGGTTGCCTCGTGGATATCAACTCCTCACCAAACAAAGAAATAGAGCCCTGGTGCTGGAAAAACTAGAGGTCAGGAAGAACAAAGAAATTGTACTTACCATATATAAAAGGCACCACATATAATTAATATGGATGTGACACGGAGCTGAAGATTGATGAAGAAAGATCAAGGTGCACGTTAGCAAGCATATAAGAAGAACCTCAAGTGAGGTGCAACCATCAATATGAACAAGTTCTTCCCCTTGGTGAGGATGCTGATGACTTACAAAAAAACCACCACAGCTGGAATAGAGAAAAAGAGAACATAACCCCAAGGAAAAGAGTAGCATGTGCAGGACATTTGTATACAAATTTACTATTATGCTTTCTTCCTGTTATTATTCTTTCTTTTTCAGCAAGAACTACTTGAGATCAAAAACTTTTTCATTTTCAATTATACTCTTTGATACCTGTATGAATAGCATGCTTCCTCTTTGACCACAGATTAGATTTGAACATAACCATAGATATTGACTTTAAGAAATTCCTTTTCCACTCCATCAGTATTAAACTCAATTATAAAGAAGTTTCATGGTAATGTTATTCAGTCATCCTTTGTTTCCAGCATGATTAGCACCAGTTCCTCCAATGCCCAGCCACTGCTGTTAAATAACAAAAAGCACAAGAGTCGCTTAACACTTACCAATTAACACCACTGATGCCTCTAAGTGCTATCAGTCCTACTTGTGAGGTGCTACGCATATAGGAGCAAATACTGCCCTAACTCTGAATTTGTGGTTCCTGAATGGAGACATAATTCATATGAAATAATTCTATCTCACCAAATAGGTTAAACCTATTTCTAAGTTACTATTACAGTAATGTATATTCTGGGCCCTGTGTGTTTTGTCAGTCTGTCTTTCCTCAGAGATCCTGCTTCAGCTGCTGCAATGACTGAAACTGAGTGATTCAGCCACATAGCTATGATGTGGGGCATATCTTTCTTATTTGGATAAAAACATTTCTTTTTTCTTTTTTTTCTAAATATAGTTGCAGCTACAAATGGCCCACCATTAGTGGACTAAATATTTAGCAATTATAATGAATTTGATTGGAGTAAGGAAATCAGATATACTTCAGTTTTCATACAGCTTATTTATCATACTAGACATGGAACGTAGACTGAATGTCTATCTTAGAGATTACACTATATTTCCAATCTCAAAAAAAAGTTTACCTTTAAAGAGACAAATAAACCTAGCAAAGTCATTGTATGCAGAAATAGAACCTATGCTTCTATGAAAGTGTAATTCTTTAAATTGTCTGCTGTTATCCCTAAAATTATGGGAGATTTGAAAGGGTCTATTGATTCTCTGACAGAACAATAGATGTCCTATACTTAACTGCTTAATTGATTTTAATGATCTTGATGGACATCAGCCAAAGTGTTGGAAATATCTATGAAGTCTAAGCAAATTGTTCCTTTTGTACTTTTTGTCAATCAAATCTTCCTACGTTATAAAATAATTTGAAAAAAGAAAATGATCAATGATAGCACTTCATAATTACAGACATATATGCAGAAAAGCTAATGAGATGTATCTGAAATTTTCCACACTCCATGGAGGCTTGTAGTAAAAGAAACTGAGCTATTTGTTTTGTGCTATATTACACAAAAAATTTTCTTTGACAGTAAAAGAAAATGCACTCGTATTCATTACATGTGGGATTTATTTTGATTGGTGTATAATTAAATGTTTCATCTATGACACAATTCTAAGAAACAAAGGAAACTTCATATCCTGTTCTCTTACTTTTTGTTCTTCATTCTCAATCTTGGTGAGCACATCAGGAGAGAACGAATTTGAAGGAGCCAGTGCACCCACCGTGCCAAAGGGATTGAATTGCAGCCCCACATCAGGGTTGTCTACGGAGCACCATGTCTCAGCAACCCTCTCCTGCTCAGGTATGGGCACATTCTGATCACGATGGACGCACTCTTATTGCACCATTGACTTGTGCTTCAAATGAGGTTCAGAGGAAATACTTTTGCCTTGCTTTCCTCCCTTCCTCTCCATTCCTGTCCTCTTCCACTGACTCCCTTTGCATTCCCTTCTAATCATGTTTTATCAAATAATTAAAACATTTATAATGAAGTGCAAACACTGAAGTCAACAGGATTCTTTAAACCAATAGCATAAATTACCCTCCCTCATGAGTCACCTTGGAACAGGCATCTTTTACCATATGCAAGGATACTTTGCAAACAGGCTGTATACAGCACAAAGAGCAGTTACTCATTGGCTAACACATGCAATAGAAGGCCAACATGGTGCCAGGCTAAACACAGATCTGCTCCTCAGACTTGACAAAAGATCTCACCAGAGATCAGCCTTCCCCACAGCCTCCATCACGGAACAGCTCTAAGACTTGCTTTTAAGTTATCCTCCTTAGGATCCCTTTAAAGCCTTTTTTCCATTGTTGGTTGTTTTTTTTTTTTTTTTTTTTTTTTAAAAAAAAAAGTTCTTCATGTCAGGGGGCTTGTCTTGAATCCTAGAGATGCTAAATGCTACAGATCCAATGGCTGCAACTGTGTGACTTCCTACTAATACTAAAACAGACATACTAACACATTTCACTTAGTCAAACTGAGCCTAGCTTCCATAGCACAGCAACGCTGACAATAAACTTTGAGTCAGAACAGCTGCTTTAATGGGCCCAATGCTACATACACACCATGACTTGGCCCCCTTCTTAGCTGCTTCCAAAAAATGTGAAAGGCAAACAAAGTTATAGGATTGATCCTTTCTGATAGACATTCAGATTGCTTTTATACCAGGGAGAGACTCGAGGTCAGGAAAGTATGCAGCTGGTTTAGCAGACTTGATCGGATCTTTGTGGAAGGCAGGGTCCTTTCCAGAGTCATGCATTACATATCTGTGGTCTTCTGGACTGTATTGTTGCTTTTTTCATGGCAGGGAAAGACATATCAGTATCTCCAGTTACACAAGAATCTGAAAAAATATCAGTGATTTTCTGCTGCTGGTGACTCCAACTTGTAAAATCCCGTTAGGAGAACTCTTGTCATAACCATTTCTATTTCTGTGGTAAGATATAAAATAAAAATTTAAGCACTTGATCCCAACGTGATGTAATTCCAGAAGTTTGATGGTGTGTAATACAAAAGCACTAGCGCTTCTGTGTAAAGTTTACTGATCCTGAAGAAAGTACACGGTGGTGAGTTAATGTACATTAATTTAATAGAGAGGTACTCATACTATTAGTAGAGTACTAGTAGTTACTAGTTATTGGCAGCCAGCCAGTAGAGTCTCCACCAAGTACTCATTAGCAGTAGCAGCAGGCTGATAGAGCATACACCCTGGTATTATGCTCAGCAGACACCAGTGATATCTGCCTGGCACAATGCCCGTGCAACCCTTTAGTACCATGGCTGTATATACAACAGTACCAGACAATAGTTTTGTATCAGGATAAGCAAGGACATTGACAGAAAGCATGGATACTTAGTTACAGCTGCAGAACAGTCTCTCACCAACAGTTTTCTTACAGCTCCTTCTCAAAAGCTAGTTGCCTGCTCAGGCCACAGTGCATATTTTTCTGCACATTGATGCCACAAAAGTCTACATAAGCCTGAAGACCTAAATCTAGTAAATCCAATGTTTATAATCTGGTTTCTTAAAATTAGATGAAATGAATTGACTGTTTGATCCTACTAACAGCAAAACTGTATTATTTTCTAGAAGGAAGTACTTTACTTCTCCAACAGAAAGAGAAGAGGTTGTTCAACACAGACAAAAGATGACTGGGGATAAATTATAGCATCCTTCAAGCTCCTAAAGAGGGCCAGCAGGAAAGATGGGGATGGACTCTATCAGGAAGCGTAGTGATAGGACAAGGGACAACATTTTTTAAACAAGAAGACAGTATGATTTGATCAGACATTAGGAAGAAATTCTTTGCTATGGGCATAGTGAGGCACTGGAACAGGTTGTCCACAGAAGCTATGGATATGCCACTCCTGACAATATTTAAGGTCAGGTTTGATGGGGCTTTTTACAACCTGATCTAGCCTACAGTGCAGGTTTTCAAACTAGTTGGTTTTTAAGGTCTCTTCCAACTTAATTCATTCTAAAACTTCTTTTCCAAAGGGCCTGAAGCAAAGTGAGAAGACAAAATAAACAGCCTAATTAGCAAGCTGAAAACAGTACTTTCCTGCATTTTATACCATCTGAAACCAGTGTACACTGCTGACTAGATAAGAGATGAGCTTCAAGGCCTCTTACGCTGTCCAATATGAAATGCATGAATTGTCCTGAGAATACAGGTTGGATCCAGAACACCCTCCTTCATAGAGTCACAGTAGTGTTCACCATTTAGAGTAAATGACTTCCCGAGGACAGCTGCCTACTACCACAAAAAGAACAGGGAAAACTGTGAAGTGTCTAATCAGGGAAATGTGAAGCTTGCAATGGTTTTCATTAGCTTTTGTCTGGAATATAGATTTGTTATTTATGGTAAAAATTACATCAGAACAAGGTTAAAAAAAAACACAACTTTTAAATGCTGTAAAGTGTAAACTACTTAACTTGGATAATATAACAAGGCAGTAACATGGTTAAGATTTCCCCCAGATGCACTGAAATCACAGTGTGGAACCTGATGTACCCCCAACATGGAATAAAATCTGATGCCAGTTCAAGCCTCAAGTCTGAACCTTTGCATCTTGCAGTGTAGGTCTTTATTTTTCTGCCGCTATGTGCACCACTAGAGGAGTTTGAAAAATTCATATCCTATTCATCTAGAGTGGAATGGAAAAGTTAAAAAAAAAAACCTTTATCTTTGTTTACATTGAAATCTGGCAGTAATGTAATCACATACACGTGTATGCCAGCCTCACCTGAAATCCTAGACAGAGCACAAAATGAACTTATTTTGAACAGCAGGCTTAGGCTCAAAACTGTCACCTCTGAAGAAAACGTATGGAAAAGAATGGAATTATTCAGGCACATAAGAAGTGTATAAATACACTAGAGTTACTGTTTTTCCTCCTGACACATGCTGATTGACTCATAGCATTTGAAAACATTAACTAGCTTATTCAGTATTTACAACATTAAAGACTTTAGGTTTTATTAATACACATTAGATGAATTTATTTTTGTATTCTGATGAGGACCCAAATGCAGTTATCACAAATTATGTGATATTTTCAGTGTTAGGAATGAGTAGAACAGCAGCTACCAGACTGATTTGTGGCCAGTATAAGTGCCTCCCAGGCATGATGGGTCACACCATGGATCACTTCACAGCAACAGAAACGCAGATTTTAGTGATATGACCACATCATAAATACATCTTTCCAGTTCTATCAGCTATCTACAGCAATATTTCCAAGTTTGCCTCATCCCTCATCACTATATTGCAATTGGCTTCCCCATGTTTCATTCCCTCCACCCAGCCTTGAATCTCAGGTTCAGATGATGTTGGCTACTTATTTCTAGTGACTGTATGTTTTAAAGGTGAGTGGAGGATAGCTATCAAAACACGTAGATAGACAAGACTGCCACTGTAGAGGTTGATATTTAGAAAACTGGAAAAATCTAAGTCATTAAATAATATTTATCTTAATATGTACAATACATTAGGACTTATAAAGTGGCAGAAAAGAAATGGGAAAAGTTTCTTGCAGAAATGTTAGAGAAAGATCTTGCAAGGTAGAACGTAGACTGTTTACTACAGGAGGGCAATTGTATTTAATCGCTGGGACAACAACAACAACAAAAAAAAAACACCACAAAAATAGTAGAAATATCTTGAGCTAAGAAGGAAAGAAGTACTTAAAGATAGCATCCATGTGGGTTACCTGATCACTTTAGATCATTAAGGAGTTTAGCTAGCACATCATGTATTACACCACTAAGCAGTATTTTTAAAAAGCCAGGAAGAAAACCAAGACAGAAGTAAATTCAATACCAAAATTCATAATAAAAAATGGATTACTTAATGAATCTTATATGACTCAAAATTCAAGGAATAAATGTACACACAAATTGCACATTCACTTTTGTTTGAAATTTTAAAAAACTATAAACAGTAAATTATGAATATTTTAGAGAGCACTTTGCAGTAAAATGACCTTTTACTGTTATGCGATAAAGTGAAATAATTGAAGAAAACTACACAAACTATAAAGTACTTGATACATTTAAGCTTTAAGGCAATATAGTTTGGTTGTTCTCACTAACAATTCATTCTGCCTTAAACAAGAATAGTTAGGGCTTCCTAAAGAATGCACACTGAAAAGAGTCTTGAAGAAAACCTACTGAGCTGTGGAGAGGTTGCAATGGTAAACACATTCTATAGTCTAAACATGTCAATTCTTGCTTTAAAAAAAAAAAAAAAAAGGGGGGGGGGGGGAGAATTATAAACCTTCAATAACGTCTACAAATGAATTTTAATTGATAGTTAAAAATTTAAAAGAACAACAGAAAAGTTTTTAGGAAATTGGAAATACAGGAAAATATTGTGTCTTAATAAATTTTGGATAATGTTGTTCCAGTTTGGAAGAACATTTTAAAAAAGGTTTCAGTGAAAGGTAAAGTGAAAAAAAAAAAAAAAAAGATAAAATAATATGATAACACAAGTGAGAATGAAGTACAGGATGGCATCCAGGGCAAACTGTACTGCAAACTGTTTAAAAGAGATTTGATTTTGAAGTTCATGTGAGGAATCCCCATGAGATCAGTTCAGTAAACAAAAAGATTATTGTTGTCTGTTCTGAGCATAGCATAGAAAACATTATTTTTAGGCTTTAAGAAAAAGATCAGAGAATAAAACACCTGGAGAAATTGTTTGAAGTTGAAAACTGAGAGCTGTGTTTCAAACAACCTGCCTGAGAAATAGGTGGTAATAACAGAAGACAAAGGGTTCAAGATGGAAGGATAAAAACAGTGTTGGGCATCTTGATAAATTTAAGAAGGCAAAGTGTACCTTTTAGTACTAGTTGTCATGATTGGCCTTGACTATCACAAAGTTTTTGGTGCTCTTTTTTTCAACTGAAATGATATCGTTATTGTATTTCGGCATTACTCAAACCATAAGCACTTAATTAAAACCTAGTATCAGGAAGGAGAGTAAGATGTTGAACATTTTACACTGAAACATACACTATCGTGACTAATCTCAGAGAAGCCAGGATGAAAATGAGGTGAACAGAAAGCAGATTTTGTCTCGTCATGTCTGTGAGGATATGAAACTACAAGCATTGAATATGCTCTAGTATTTTGTCAGTTCAGTTTTTACACAATCATATCCCAAGCAGAGTTTTATCTCCTGACTTAGCATTTTGGTATACTCAATTTGTGCTCCTCTCCTTTCATTGGAGATCCCATTATCTGTGCCCTTTCACAAATGCTCAGTTTCAGAATCAAAATAACATGTTATGACATTCTGCTTTACAAATACATTTCATTGATGCCAAACATACACAAGGATAAAGATATTATAAAGGGCTGTTTCAGTGGAGTGAAAGTGTTGCACGTTACTGATGCAGCTACTTTATGTAAGATACATTTTACGAATCTTAAGTCAGACTGTGCAAAACCTCAGTTGATTGAAAATCACATTTAAAGAATCTGTGCTTCAAAATAAAATGAAAGCAAAGGACATTATGAATTTGTGTGCAAGTCTTGTTTCTGGAATGATTTTTTTTTTTTTTAAAGTACTAACCAAAAATGAAAGCTAACTCATTTTCACCCATGAAATATCCCTCTTGTATTCACTGTTTCTTCCCATCTTTTATTCCCCTATAGAAAAAAAACAACAAAAAAACCCAGCAAACTACAAACAGTGTAACTGACTAAAGTTGTCACTGCCAACAGAGAACTAAGAGGTTGTCATGGTTTTGTGATTTTTGGTATTCCACATCATAACATCACGTAGTGCACTGGAGCTAAACTGTTAATGCTCAATTCCAGGTACCTGTCCCTGTACATTGTTGCGGAAGTCATGGGATTTGGCCCTTCCTGGTTGTGCGGTCTCTTACTGCTTGCAGGGGGTGCTGGAGCGTGCTTTCCTAGCCGTACCAAGCTCTTCAGGTTTGATCAGCCTCAGGAACTTTTCAGGAGATCAGTCTCTCTCTTATTTTATTTGATTTATCAGTCTCAATTTCAATTAGATTGTACTGTATTACCTTGCATTCCAATATCATAGTTAGTAAAATAATTTTTCCTCCATAGATCATTGCCACTGTTCGTTGTGCCCCCCCCCCCCCCCCCACTTGCTTGAGCCTAGCTCCCATCTCCCTACCCTTTTTGCCTTTTCCTTCCCATTTTGTGGGGCTGGAGGGGCCCAGGGGCCTACTGACCCCAGTCATGGGGGTAGATTGATCTAGTTGACAGTGACACAAGTCTGAGCCTGATATGTCTGAGCCTACATTTAAGCTGAAATAAATCCATTACCAAAAAGTTGCTCTGATTTGTTATTATATCTTTTTCTTTAAAGTTTGGTTAATTCATTGCAGTGTTTACAGATTACCATTAGGTAATAAAAGAAACCTTTGTATTTACAAAGAGGTTTTTTTTTTTTTTTTTTTTTTAATTAAACCTGGAACAAAAATATCCTATGTTTTATTTCTGTTAGCCTTTTTGAGGGGGGGAGAGCTTGTACTGCATTTTCTCACCTCATTAAAGTCATTTTTCAGACATTTACCTGTCCTTCCAAGGATTAACAATGAAATGATTTCAATCTTCTTAGTACCTTCCTGTTTCTGAGGAAGCATTGCAATTTCTTTTATAGAAAAATTCAACATCCTTGCTGAATTTGATCACTCATGTTTCTTTGAGAGACAACAGTACACTTTTAACAAGTACAGATCAAAATAATAATTAAAAATAGTTATTGTCTTTTTCTCTTCTTAGTCTAGGACACTCTCTGTGAACAATGTGAAAGGCAATGAAGGGTTGACTGGGTTTCCATTTTAGGTTTAATGACTTTTTTTTTTTTTCATTAAACATAATGATTCTATGTTCCTATAAAATAGAGCTTAGCAGGAAAATTTGGACCTGGAGAGCTGTAGTTTCACTTCAGCTTGTCCTCAGTGATGATTCCTTATCAACCTCCCATAAGAAATTAAAAAAAAAAAAAATTTAGTCTCATAGCTGGGAAAAATCTGACACTGACATAAATCTTAGAACAACTTACCCTGGGACTCATGTAAAAATAGAATGTACAGTGGTATACATACCAGGTACCGTACCTGAGAATTTTAGTTTGTAATAACTTATGTTATCCAGAGGGGTATAAAGTTATGGAAGATGTAATTGTGATTTGTTTTCCATAACAGGTTTTGAGCTTCTTCCTATGGTTTATCCCCATTATTGAGCTCTACAGCTAACAACAATAAGCAAAAGAATGTTATTTTTGTTCAATCACAACAAAGATCTCTCAATTTTATTTTGAGAGTCCAGCATCATAACATCTTTGCATTTCCAATAAATACATTCTTGCTTTCACAAAACTAAAATAATTGTAAAATAGTATGCTTCAGTAGAAAAAAAAATGGAAAAAAGTAACAAGTTCCTCTTCGTTGCAAATGTAGTTCTTAAACCTAAAAATCTGTCTCTCTGTACAATTCTTCAGAATTGGAAGGGCTGAAGATAGTTTAAAACATAGCATTACAAAGACATCTCTACTGGGAGTGAAATTATCAGGATAAAACAGTGAAATATTTTCATAATTAAATACAAAACTTAAAGTAGCATACTTCTGTAAAACAACACCCCCCTCAATTCTGCCATGCTCATAAATACCACATAAATTGAATTGACAAAGGTTCTGGTCGTTTGAGACACTACAGACTTTAGTTTGCAGCCAGGTCAACCTTGAATCTAGAGCTTAATTTGAAGCACAAATAGCCCTCTAAATCAGGTAAGGTGTTGCCTCAGCTTTTACAGAGTTGTTCTTCAGATTATTACCTCATGGTTATCTTGAAGAAAGTTTCAGGATTTTGCCTCAAACAACTCAAGACTATGAAAATGTTACTGAAGAGAGTCCATACAATTTCCTACCTTATTCTTTGATGAGCATGAGTGTCCTACAGACTCCTAAGAATACAGCATCTTCTGGAAGAAATTACACGAGCAAGAAAATCCCAGATTATATAGATTTACTCTCTGTAACAGTAAAGACAGGTGAAACTGAACAAACAAGGACTCAGCACTCATCCTCGAGGCTGGCTACCTATGATTCTAGAAGTAATAAAAGTTAGGTTTTACTTCTGCGTTGAAGCATTTATGTAATTATGGCTTGCACATCTGAATGTGTATGCGCAGAACTCAAGCCCAAACCAGAGACAAGGAAGAGCCTTTTCCCAGGCATTCTTCAGGCCTACAGCATAGACAGCCTTGACGTTAGCCTGGGTTTTATCAGGTCATCCCTGCTCATCCTGTGAGCTTCTGTGCTAGAAGCTGTACCACTCCACATGCCCTCTCTGAAAAATATCCTATATCAGAGGTCCTCAGCAAATCTGACCAGGTTTGAAGATAACCTCAGGAGAGCACTTCTCACTTCTTTTTTGTAAATATTGAGCTTTCAGTTTCCATTACTCCACTTCGCCCTCTTTTCCCAGTGCTTGTGACAATCATTTTAAAAGGGCCTTCCTGACTGCTGCAATCTCTGCTCAATTAAGTTATCTGCAACAGGTCATTGACTGAGTACAACTTCATAAAGAGTAATTTTAGCTGGGTAGGGCTATTTCAGGAACTAATTGCTCTTAATTACCCTGAATTGCACATGGAAGAAGCTGTACAGCTACATAAACAAGACACTAGTAGCTTTTGAGATTGAGAGCCTACTGTGGGCTGTCCTGGGTGGAAGAAAGGCAGGGAACTTGGGGGAGAGGGATACCGGGGTATGGTTAGCAGCAGAAAACAAAATGGAGCTGGCCTTTTTCATATTTTTGTTTTTAGATATTTACCCATTCTATGCTACTGTCCCTGAGGAAAATGATTTAGAGCCATAAGGTGTGGATACTTTGAGTTAGTAAAATTGCCAGCTTATAAAGAGGAAATATTTCTGAGGTTTTGATACAGTAAGCACATGTGATGTGTAGATCCTCATGCAGTATGCTAACTAGGACTCTTTAATATGTATTGTACAGTCTAGGAAACATTTACCACAGCAGAACGCAAGAATGGCTGCATACTACTTATGATGGCTACTTATGAATATCATTCTCTGCTTTTATGTAAGTGTGTAGTACAGCCATTATTCTGGCAAAACTCCTCTTCAGAAACAATGAGTCTCTTACATAAAAAAGGGGAAGTGCACTTCCTATAGAATTAATCGCCTTATATAACTTGTCAGTAAATATTTACTTTGTTCTCTGAAAGCCTACTTCATCATCGCTTTCAAAAATTAAAGGCACAGCTAGTTATTCTCACTGAAGAATTTTATTCCCTTGTAAATAAAATTAAATTATCCAGTGAAGCCGGTAGTCTAGTTTGTTAGTGAAAGATAGCTATGTATCACTATGCACCAGAACAAATAAATATTGCTTTTATTTTCTAAAAAAGATAATATTTATCAGAGACTAATCATGGAGATAGCAATGCTAAATTCATTGAGGAAATATGTGGAGAATAGTAATACATAACCAGAAGCCTATTTTAGGATGTTTTAGCCTGCTGAAATTCACTTTTCTTGTTTATGTTTACTGTGGGGAAGTTCGTGCTGCTGCAGCTGAAGTAACCAGCAAATTTTTAAGGAAAAAAGTGAAAGAAATGAAAGCCAAAGCAGAAGTAAGAAATCACCACCTTCCTTCTAAATTTGAGAGTGCTTAAAAAAAAAAAAAAATGCACGTGTATGAGAGGCAAAGTGGCAATGAGACCAATAGGTGCAAAACAACCCACATCTCTCCTATGAGGGGCTCATTTCTGCCACAATAAGGTAGCCATTCCCAGACTCTGTCCTTCACTCTATCTGACAACAAAACCATTCCTGGGATAGATGGATAGACCACTTGTAACACAGGCCACAGCAGGCTAGGAACAGCTCTACAGTTTGGCAATGCAACGCTGCTGTGTGTCAATGTCCAGGCAGTGTACTTCAGCAAGTTGTTTACCAGTGTAGGTATATTCAGAATTACTGGAAAAAAATCTCCTAAAATACTAATACCCGAAGAACTTAAGACTGAAAAATAGAAATAGACTATGAAACAATTCACTGTTTTTATTTATCTTAAGTTTTATAAACATTTTTCTCTACACACGTTCCCCTGCAGCTTACTCCAAGATTGAGATGTTCTTTCTTGAGGCTCCCAGTATTCACCATTAGCAAGGCATAGCTTATAAAGAGTAAGAATGACTTTAAAAGTAGAACTTGCCTAACAGCTTCGGTTTAGTTTTTCATTGTTGTTCATACAAGACAAATGCAATTTTAGGGGCTTGGAGAAGGCGTGCGGAAAGAAAAAGTCATAAAGGAAAACATGGTTTTGACAAATACTTGAGTCTTAGTTTGCATCCTCTTCACAGCTTTTTTGAAGATAAGCGTATTATATCAGTTTGTCTTTAGATCAGCTTGACATGCAATGTTTCAAACACAAAATCTAATAGATTAATGTAGAAGAAGAAAACTTCTCCACCCTGTCTGCTGACTTGCAGGACTAAACACACTATGCCCTAGTTGAAAAGCAATGCTGTAATGCTACAAAGGGATAAAAAATACTGTGATAATTGCAGGGTGGCAAAGTCTTTGGCTCCAGCAAATGAGAACATACCCAAACACAGCAACCACAGAAAAGAAGAAAATATTTGCTTACCTTTGGAAGATCACAGGTAGGTAGAGATCTCCAGCAAGAGATCACCTCCACTGCCAACCCTTAAGTGAGGTCTGTAAAGGGGTGGATCCTGATTGCATGCATCTGATCTCCCCTTTGTTGGCCCTGACTTCTCACCAGGTGATCAATCACTTCTTCAGGCCATGACTTAGCGTTTTCACTACAAATACTAATTTAGTATAAGAGTATAATCAAAAGTTCTTGTGAAAATAATTGGTTTTATATCAGCAGGTCTTGTCTGATAGTTGAAAACAAGATGAATCACTAAAATTATCTGAAACTTATCTCTGCTGATCAACGTATGCAGTTTCTCTGCTTAGTATGTTGTGAGGGAGACACTGTAAAACTGATAGCACAGATCCTAACTGCGGAAGTGGGCACAGTTTTTGATGTATTTTCCTAATCAACATCAATTCTTCATGTATTTTATGTCAAGATCACCAATTCTGGCAAAGACTACGCACTTTAGCATGGTGTATTTGGGATTCTTTACTCCCCAATACCTGGATTTTGTAAAGGAAGAAAACAGTTTCCAATATTTATAGTATTTATCTTAAGAGCAAGAAGTTGCTTACTATGAAGAACTGTGATAAAATGTTTAATGTTCTATATCTTGTTAGTACTCAGTGTGAGAAATTGTTTAGCAGACATGAAGAATCATAGCTTTATTACAATTACAATGTTACTATCTTTAGATTTAACTAATTGTATTCTATAGTTACAAGAAAACTGATGAATAAAGTTTAGAAAAGCTCCTTCTAAAATGAAAAAAAATAACTAACAGAGGCTGTGCATCATCATTTTTGAAGTGATATATTATAATGACACAGTCTCATGACGGCAGTGAACATTTTTGCATAAGCTGCTTGTAAAGTACCACAGTTGTATTGGGCTGCTACTTTATAAGCAGATCAGTGCTCAATTCACCAGCTGTTGAGGTGAATTGTTGTAATTTGTCTTTGCATTTCTGAAGTGTCATAAAGGACAGGAAAGAAATGAGCCTTGTAGTTAGTCTTCCATTCATTCTGGGAAAGATTACTTGCAGGAGAACTTTGTGCAAATATACTGTCCTATATCCCCAGACTTCCACTACTATAAAGACTATAAGAAGTGGCAGAACATAAAGCTAATAACAACATCTGTAAGGACAGCACATTACATTCAAACTGACTGAATTTTTAAGAAAGTATTGGTAATGTATATTGCTGTAATGATTCATGAGTTTCCAGAAACCTTGTGGCTAGAAACTCAGAGAAACTGAGTTTCTCTGCTGAATTGTAGTAAATAGAATAAGGCATTGATATGTATACAATTTACAGAATCGTCCTCTCTAGCTCAAAAGTACTTTGTACAGATATTCCAGAAAATCTGAATTCCATGCTGGACTTGTAGACTTTTGTTGTTGCTTTCTCAAAATCTTCTTGGGCTGAAACCTGCCAGGAAGAGACTTCTACATTTGAACCGGTGTTCCCTTCAACCTAGTCATGTAGATAGTAGAAGCCAGTAACTAGAGCTATAAGGAGAGAGAACACTTCAATAGCAAAGCTACCAGGCTTGGTAACAGATCTGCAGTCCCCTAAGGTAGCTGAATGCTGATTTCCTTCATAGCTTTCATAGAGTTATGGAAAGTAGTTAAAAAGAGAGAACTGTCACTCTTCAATCATTTTCAGCAGCTGATAGACTGCTTAGGCAGCACTTAATAAGACAGAAACAAGGTTTATTTTTTAAAATCAAAATGTCAGCTTCCTATGATTTGTAAAGGCTATTTGTCTTTTGAGGGTTAGCAGAAAAGAACAAATCTAGCCTCTTATTCACCATGCAGTGAAAGGCTCCCTGTGAGTAATGTCTTCATGAGTGTGGACTCAATCTCTTCAAGCATTCTGAAAAAGAATGTATGTAACTGTTACAGAACTCTGAAGAGAAAGAGATGGAACTTTGGGTGCTGGTTCCCTAAACATTAGGGAGAAAAGTCTTTTACCATGAGAAAATTCTCAGACAATCTCAAAGATGAAATGGAACAAGTCTGTTTAGATAAAAGTTCTTGAATTAAAACTAATTAATAAAAATACAATAGATAATAAAAATAAAAACCACAACAACACAACAAACAAAAAAAACAACAACCAACAAAATGCACTCAGAATTCATTCCCTGGATTTTCTGGGGTTAAACTGAGAGTGACAAGGATACAGCACTGTCAAGCCAGGGTAAAAACACTGTGAATACAACAAACTGGACAATTATTGTGAAAAAACATCCTGAATTCCCTCAGGATCATGGG